TAATGGTCATCTGTGCCAGAGCAGTGGGTGACAATCTTTATAAACCCTAGCAGATTGATTGTGATCTACCTACCGAGGTGCAGCAGGTGAGTCTGCAGACATGCTGGCCTTCAGAAAACAGTGTTTGTTTCATCGACAATCGATCAACGTAGGATGGTACAGATTTGTCTCGAAGAACTTAATAGTGCATCAAGCTGCTAATATGCAACTTTCCTGTGTCACAAAACCTCATCTTGAGAACTAATTTATTAAATCCATAACATGAAGTCCATGATTACAACCTACTGAATTTGTGGTAGAAGCTGAAAAGGGACAATTCTACCAAATGCCTCCTGTCATCCTTAAACCTGATATGTTGTGTTAAACAAAGCAGCTAATATTTTAACTGCATGATGTGGTAATTGGACACTGTTGGACTGTTCAAAATTCAGCAAAGAAACATTGGCAGGAATCAAGTTGAGAACGGTGTCCTCCTGGACTTCGTACAACAGTGGAAGAAAGCAAGTATTAGTTCTGCATCAGTCGGTGTCCTGTTCACTCCTTGATATTTTTAAGATGATCAAAGAGATAAATAGGTTCTTCAAATGAAGTCAGGGCAGTTCAAACTCAACAGCACATCTAAATAAGTTAGCTATAACCTCTAAACCAAAACAATTATCCTACAGATCTCATCAAAGCTGTGACCTATCCTTCTTTCATAAACCAATTATAAATATTCAAGTATGACAGTTATTAGCAGCATGTGTCAGGAATATATTCACCCTCCAAACTCCTAGGTTACACTTTGGGGTTGTAGTATATGACTGCTTAAATGAGACTTCCTTCTGCTGTCTCACTGCAAACAAAAAAAAAAAAATCATTTGATTATACTGTTTCTTCCAAAATAAATAGAGAAAGCAATTTCAGACAAATATTAATGTATCAAGTTGGCCAAATACTGTCCCAAATCTGGCTATTTTGAGGCCTATTGAAAATGCTTTTGAACCTACTGAAGTGTTTCTTTCTTCACTCTGTCCATTCCCCAGGATAACTGGTTCACTGCATAATGCATGCAATTCATTTTGAATCTGAATATAGAATCAGTGACTCCTGAATTAAAAACAAAAGTTAATCAGTGTTAGATATTGTCATCTCACTATTAACAACAATGTGTGTGTAACTATCACTCTAGATCCACTGCTATGTTTCTACTACCATTAGGGAATTTGGATAAAACTCCTTGACCCAAAGAGAGGCGAGAATGTGGAATTTGCTTCCTCAAGGAATGTTTGAAGCAAATAGCAATAGATGCATTTACAGAAAAACTGGGCAAGTATTTGAAGGAGAAGGAGATTGAGCCTTAAAATAGTTTTAAGTGAGGAGTTATGAGAGGTGGTTTGGGTAGAGCAGTAATCATTGGAATGGACTGGTGTGTTGGAGAATGGTGTGTTCCTGCACAATATGTCCTCTAATGTACTTCCACTGGGTTAGTTACTTGATGTGGTGATGTAAGAAAATCCATATTTATGATATCTTTACTGATATCTGAAGATTCAATTCCAATTCTGGAATCTTAAGGGTCTACTCCACATTGGCAGTTTAGTTAAATACTGAACGTGCTACACTGTCAGTGATGTCATCATTCAGAAGAGATTTAAAACCCCGTTAAACTTTTGTCTGTGATCTCAGATGGCCATGTTAATTCCTACTGCTCCATTTAAAAATAGCAGGATTTTCTTTTATAGGAACACCCAGTGAATTTGACCCAGTGACACCGAAGGAACAATGACGTATTTCCCATTCCAGACGGAGACTGATTTGAAGGGGGCAACTTGGAGAGAATGTCAATGTTTACTCCTCAAACAACACCAGAAACAGATGACCTGATCCTTTTTTTGCACTGTTTATGGGACCCTGCTGTGTAAAAGGTAAGAACCAGAACAGTCACTTTAGTGACAGTAATTGCTGTAAAGTATCCATTGACAGTAAAGAATTTTGAGATATACAAGTTCATGAAGGACGCATCATAAACACAATGCTTTTCTTCTTAAGAGGTGTCCCCTCAACTTGAGGACGAGTCTGCCAACAATAAAATGAGCATAAGATCAAGATGGATGTGTGCTCTGACGAGAATTACAAGACAATGATGAGATAGATATTATCCTGAGACATGATCGCTGAGCCGGTGTGTTTGATTGCAGACGTTTCGTCATCCTGCTAGGAAACATTGTCAGTGCGCCTCCGGTGAAGCGTTATTGTTCTGTCCCGCTTGTTACTTATATGCCTCGGTTTGCTGGGATGGTCGGCATCACTGCCGGTTCTGTTTTTCAGTGATTTGTATAATCGGGTCCAGTTTATTGACGGAGTTCCGGTTGGAATGCCAGGCCTCTGGGAATTCCCTGGCATGTCTCTGTTTGGCTTGTCCTTTCACAGATGTGTTGTCCCAGTCGAATTCACGTCCTTCTTGTCAGTGTATATTGGGACCAGAGAGAATTGGTCATGTCTCTTGGTGGCCAGTTGGTGTACCTGTATCCTTATTGTCAGTTTTCTTCCAGTTTGGCCTATGTAATGTTTCTCTCAGTCCTTGCATAATATTTTGTTTATTACATTAGTTTTAACTGGTTGTGGGTACAGGACCGTTTACATTGTCAGTAGCTGTCACAGGGTGGTTGTTGGTTTGTGGACTATCCTGATTCCTAGGGGTCCGAGTAGTCCACTACTACTACTGCTAAAACATGATTGTACACGAGAATGTACACGAACACCAACTAGCCACCAAGAGACACCACCAATTCTCACTGGTCTCGATATTCACAGACAAAGGAGGACACAAATTTGACTGGGACAACACATCCGTAAACGCACAAGCCAAACAGAGACACGCCAGGGAATTCCTGGAGACCTGGCATTCCAACCGGAACTCCATCAACAAACACATGGAACTGGACCCGATATACAAACCACCGAAAAACAGAACCAGTAGTGATGCCGACCATCCCAGCAAACCGAGGCATATAAATAACAAGCGGGACAGAACACCAATGCTTCACCGGAGGCGCACTGACGATGTTACCTAGCAGGGTGACGAAACATCTGCAATCAAACACACCGACTCGGCAAGCAAGTCCACAACCCAAGCTACAAATCTTAAACTTTATAGATGTTATCCATTGGAAGCATCACAAGGCGAGGTGCCCAGTGTATGGTTACATCTTCTGTTGATCCCTCTGGCATTGTCAATCTTTCCTTCACTTCTCTTCTCACATCAACACACCACTACTCTCAGTATGTGACGAAGATTTCACACGTATCCCAATGCTTCAAGTTGATCTCTGCAGGATTTTTCGTTTTGTCCTGTGCAAGGCAAATAAAGAGGGAAGCAGAGTGTATAATCTAAAAAAGAGCCAGAAATTGCAAGAATGAACTGAGAAAACACACTCACCTTGTGTGCAAACGTTTGGCACTCTCTGCCACAAGTGGTAACTCATGTTCGATGAAGCATAAATTTGCATTCAGAAATGCATGAATTTGTTATTCAAATTTATGAGACAAACAAATTAGGACACATCAGCCACAACAATTTCACACTGCATGGTGCAACAGAATAGTAGGACTAATTGACACACTCCAGTCAGTGATCTCAGTGCTAGAACACTCCAGTGCAGCACCGAAAACTTTGCCAAACAATTAAATTCTGACTGACCCCGGCTTTTAGATTAGATGAAAGGGAAACTACAAACATTTACTAACAGTACCAAAGATCTGGACTATGCCATACATGGACAGCCATGTTTAAGACATAGGTCATTGTAACCTGCAAACATTGAAACTGTTCCAGGGCCCAGATTGCCTACAAGGAATTTCACAGGAAATTTGTTGGTTCTACGGTTATGAATCTTCCAAGATTGCCTCTCTAGGAATTACAAAATCAATCTCTGGGAAACTGTTACTTGCAAAACTCACAAGAAAAATCAAAGGGGAGACATGAAAGAAAAATTGTTCCTTTTTTCCATTATCTTTGATCACTTTCGTTATAAAAGTGTTGGCGGGGGAGGGGTGGAGACTCACTAGCACATCAGGATTAATTAATTTGAGTAACAGTATTTCTAATGTTTGTGGGAGGGTGGTGTTCCCTCAAGTTGTATCTAAAAAGACAGAAAGGGGGCAAAAGGATTAGAGGGAGGAGGGCATATGATGAAAGCTCCTGGGGTATAGTCAACCTAGAGTTAGCACACTTCAATTTTCTATATAAAAATCATAGCTATCAGCTATAGTAATTACACAAAGACCAAACAACCTAGACTCAAACAGGTTTAAAAGTCTAGAGTTCAAAAGTTATTGTGCAATCCCAGGATTAGCAACCGGGAGGGGATGTCTCGATTGTGGCAAAATGACTGTTGCAAAACACATCTCACTGTACGTGAACACAAATTGGCAAAAATAGACAAAAAAAAAGGGGGACAAATGTGCAGGGGGATTTCACCTTCATCAATCCATAGCTTTAATGGAAAAAGGCTGGAATTGAGGAATTTTAATCTCTAAATAATAATGCCAGGTCATAAATACAGAAGTTGTCCTTTTCAGCTAGTACAGAGCAACTGTAGACAGATAAAACCAGGAAATAATGAATTGTGATAATGGTCTATTATATATATCCATGGTGAATTTGGGCACTATTTTTAAAAAGGGATAGATACATTTTAGTTTCAGTTGTGTGAAGGTCACTTCAAAAAAAAAAGGAAAGGTCAGAAAGTTATTTCAGAAAGTGAACCAAATACATCATTTCCAAACACATGATATAGCAACTGACTAACATGATATAGCAACTGACTAACATGATATAGCAACTGACTAACATGATATATGTGATATTAACAGATACAGAGTTTACATTGCTGAGTTTATGATAAACAGAAAAACAAATGATTGCAGACTACTGGCAAAAACTGAAAGAACTGGGAATGCTGTAAATCACAAACAAAAACAGAATTTGCTGGAAAAACTCAGCAGGTCTAGCAGCATCTGTGAAGAGAAATCAGAGTTAAACATTTTAGGCACAGTGACCATTCCTCAGTTTAGTTTGAGTCCAGTTCAGAAGAGTCAGATTTCAGTTTCATGCTAGCATAAAAGAGTCAGATTCTCAGTTCAGGAGAGCAGTTCACCCTAGCAGAAAGGCAAATTAGTTTGTAAAGTCTCTAAGCCATGAAGTTTTGTGTAGACATTTTCAAGCTATCAGACATGAAAAAAAGATTTAAGCCATTACAATTAAGAGAAGATTCAGGCCATAATAACTGGAAAGAAGTGTTAAAACTGTTTCAGCAGTCCAAAAAGAAAAACTGGAAAAAGTTAGTTAAGTAAAGACTTAAAATAGAAGTGATATTTCTCTGGGATTGAATATCTGAAAAGGATATTGCTGGGGCAAAAAAGTTTGAATCATGTTGTTTTATGTTAAAATGATTTAAAATTAATTTACATACACAAATATCAATATAGCTTTGTTTACTTTTCTTTTGTGCAATAAACTTGAGTTTGCATGTTAAAAGAACATTGACAGCCTTGTGTGGATATAGTCAATGACTAAATACCACAGTAACAAACTCTAAAAATACAGATTAAGATCAACTAAATTAGCTTTCATTCTGGGATCTACTTGCCCATCAGCTTGGATTGTAACAGAATGCCATGTTATGAAAATAATTTAAAACTTGAGTCACAATTGAAACAATGCCTTTGACTATATTGTAATATGGTACCACACACTTGTGAACTTGCAAAGGACTGTGCAGCAATTGATAATTGATTAGCCTGATGTCACCCATGATGCTATGTGACCTTCAGCAACACTTGGTCTTCTTAATGAAGGTGGTAACTGTGCAGATCTTTTTTCTGAAAAAAGGAATGATTGTTGTGCAAAGAAACAAAGTGGAGAAGAAGGTGCTGTCATCAACCCTTTAAATAAACCATGTTGTACACTCCATGAACAAAGTTTAAGAACTTTACACACAACACTATTAATGAATACAGTGTAACATCATTGTTACAATGAATCTTGTAACTCCCTAGTGGTTTGGTGTCATTCTGTCCTGCTATTTTGCCAGGTTTAAATACTGGCCCACCACACCGAGTACGTACCAAATGCACACAAGGGTGTTAAGAAGCAAGCAGTAGAGCTGTTTTGCCATGATATGATGGAACATAAGATAGGACCGGGTTTGCAGAGAAGAGGGATAAGAGGCACAAACTGATGGAGAATGCTGTCAACCCATGTAGCATGGCTAAAAGTAACAATAAGTAAAATGTTTCAAATGAGATATCATATAGTTCTGTATCATGATATAGGACCTCTGGCTCAGTATGTTCATGCATCATGGTGAGTTTGAGAAGTTCAGAGCAGCACCACGGGTCAGAGGCTTCTACTCCAGATAGATGTCTTCTGTTGGACAGGTGTATTCAATGTATTCTTTGTAGAATAGCTGGAAGGCCTTCCTGTACAAGTGGGGAAACAGAAATATTTAACATTGAATGCCAAGCTCATGTCTCCTTCATTGCCCAACTCTATCATTTTTATCATTTGGTTAGAGAGATCTTCATTCAAATCCTACTACAGATGAGTCAATTTTGGCATGAAGGAAAATAGTTTCTAGAACAGTTATAAACCACTTGGGCTGAAAAGAATTGGGTAAAGTTGTAATAACGGACTCCACATGGAAGCTTTGCACCCTGGCTGATGACCAGTGATCCATTCTTACAAACCCCATTCTGCAAACCCCCAGCATCAAATGCATTCAATTTATTCAAACTCAGGAGAAGAGGAAGAGGAACTCTAAATTGTGGCCTAGTCATAATGACTACCATCCCCAACGCACTTTTGAGAAAGTACAAATTGTCATCTTCTGCAGTGGTATCCCAATGATTATTTACGTTGGGAACGCTGCACATGGATCGATGTTTAAAACTAAGATCAACAGATGTTTTTGGGGAGATAAAGGCAACATGGGATGTGGAGCAAAGGTGGGTAAAGAGGTCAGCCAATTTCAAATCGAGGAGCGAATTACAGACAGGTTTGAAGCACTAAAAATGGTCTATTGTCACTTCCATGTTCCAGCTAACACAAAATGACAAGAATGAAATAAAGCACAAGCTCACTGGATATATAATCTGTGTAAATTTACTGCCAAAGCTCACTTAAAACTGGCTTTACTTTTAATACAAAGATAGCAAGAACTGCTGATGCTGGAGTCAGAGATAACAGTGTGGGGGTGGAGGAACACAGCAGGCCAGGCATCAGAGGAGCAGGAAAGCTGACGTTTCGGGTCCGGACCCTTCTTCAGAAATGGGAGGGGGAAAGGGAGCTCAGAAATAAATAGACAGAGAGAGGAGTGGTGGAGCTGGGGAGGTTAGGTGGAATATTGATAGGTGAGTGCAGGTCGGGAGTGGTGGGGATTGGTCAGTGAGGTGGGAGGGGACAGATAGGCGTGGGAGAAGATGGACAGGTTGTGTCAGGTCAAGGAAGTGGGGATGAGGGGGAGGGTTGGACATGGGATGAGGCCGGAGGTGGGGAGATTTTAAAACTGGTGAAATCCACGTTTAGGCCATTGGGCTGTAGGCTCCCAAGGCGGATGAGGTGTTCTTCTTCCAGTTTCCAGGTGGCTGCCTGGCCTGCTGTGCTTCTCCAGCTCCACACTATGTTATAGTTACTTGCATTAAAAGTAAGAGATAAGTGTAAGGAAAACAAATGTCAGGCAGGAAGGATAACCACAAGTTTTGTGAAGGTAGGATCATAAAACCGGAATGTAGAAAGAGTCCATTTAACCCATCATTTCTTTGCCATACCTTTATCGGTAATGTGTAAATTCCCCTTTAAAAAGGCTAATATGGTACAATGTCCATCACTATTATTGTAGACCATTCCATGTTCCAACTCCCTTCTGTGTAAGAAGATTTCTCCCAGCTTATCAGTTTGTAAAGACTTTGATTTATCACCTGCACTGATCTATTTATCTTCTTAACCTCTCTTGGTCTCTGACCGTACTGGGGAAGGTCACTTTGGATGTTGGTACTCCAATCTCTCTAGTGGGACTATGAACCTAAAACTGAGTCATAGATGAGGGTCTACCTATACAGCCAGAAGTGACACTGGCAAAAGGGAAAATGGGCCTAAGACAAGATGACACTCATGCAGTGTCCATTGTCTGAGCAACACTTCCTTTGAACACACTGACCCATGGGAGCATGCAGTGAATTTCTCCTTCTTTTCCCCCACAAAAAAAACGGAAGTTTGAAAGAGATAAACACATACCCCACTGATTCTGCTATTGGTTTGGTTGAGTCCTCAGAGACAAAAACATGGGAAGCAAATCGATGGTCTGAAGGATGTTTGGTAATAAATCCAAAATATCTGGAAAGAGAAAAAACGCAGTAGGAATACAACAGATTTTTCTTAGAACTATATAGTGGACCAGGAAGCTATTTCGCCTATTGTGCCTCATTAGTACCACTCCCTTGCACTTTCCTCAAAGCATCATTTATCCTTTGAGTATTTATCCTATTCTCTTTGGAAACTTACTATTGAACTTACTTACATCTCTTTCAAATAAAGCAGCCCAGATCAACACAAATCCCTGTCTAAAAAATACTCCTCTCCTTCTGGAATAAAACAAAAATCCGCAGATGCTGGAGATCTGAAACAAAAACAAATTGTTGGAGAAGCTCAGCAGGTCTGGCAGCATCTGTGGGGAGAAAGTAGAGTTAATGTTTCAAACCAGTGACTCAATCAGAACAAAATGAACCCTTTATTACCTTGAACACCTTCAATAAGTCCTAAACTTCTGTTCACAGGAGAACAATCCCAGTTTCATTTGTCTCTCCAGAGTAACTTTGGAATCATGGAATACAATCTCTAGAATAGTACATCTCAGGAAGAAACCAAGCATTTGAGTCTGCACCAGTTTTGTTTTGGAAGAACAATCTGGTTAATCCCACTCTTCTCCACTCCCTACAATTACTCCCTTTCAAGGTGTGCACCCAATCCCCTTTTGAAGATTGCTTCCAAAACAAAAAAAAACTTTTCACCTCATATTTCAGTTCCAAAGACACCAATTCCTCCAGCTCTGAAGAAATGTCACCGGACCCGAAACATTAACTGATTTCTATCCATAGATACAGCCAGATTTGCTGAGATTTTCCAGCAATTTGTTTTTGTTTCAGGTTCCAGCATCCATAGTTCTCTCAGTTTTTTGGTCAATTCCTCCATTTTCTCCTTCTTCACATTCCCCATTGCTGGAACCAATCCAACAAATTTCCTTCACAACCCCTTCAAAACCTAAGCAGCCGTGCCCCTTTCTATATGAAAGGACAGAGATGCTTTACAGTTGCAGATTTGTTAAAAACTCTACTTTTAGGTCCTTTTTCATCTTTGTACTTCAGACTATTCCAGATGCTGCCCTGTATGCTTCCAACCTTCCAAATTCTTCAGCTATACAAGACTCTGCTATTTGTTTCTTAATCTGCTTGCTAGGTCACCGAGGACAGGGAATAGAATGGGAATGAGAATATTGGTGTGGGACTGGTGCCACATCGGCCACATAGATTAGGGACACCAGATTCCTGTTCCTAGTGAGCATTGTTACCGATATCATTACTTCCATATTTTTAAAACGGAATTTAAATGATCAAAGTGCCACAGTGCAAGGTGAACCAATGTTGTGCTGGATTATTAATTCTGATCTGTTGAGTGGCTATTTCAGTCACATAACCACTTCACTCAATGAAGTAGACAACAGGTGGGGACTGAGTGGATTTGTCTGTGATACAGTCCATGGTTGAATATCCAGGTGAAAGATTTAGCCCATGGTGCTGCAATAACTTGCATTTATATTGTGCTTTTAAATAGCATGATGGCTCAGTGGTTAGCACTGCTGCTTCACAGTGCCAGGGACCTGTGTTCGATTCCAGCCTCAGGCGACTGGCTGTGTGGATTTCCTCTGGTTTCCTCCCATAATCCAAAGTTGTGCAGGTTCGGTGGATTGACCATGCTAAATTGCCCATGGCGTCCAAGGATGTTGATTATCCACGGGAAATGCAGGGTTACGGGAATCGAGCCAAATGTTCTTCAGAGGGTAGGCGTGGACGTATGGGCCGAATGGTCTGTTTCCACACTGTGGGGAATTTATGATGTATGAGAATAAACATCTGAAGCGGAGAAGATAATAGGGCTGGGTTGACAAAAATTTCCAGCAAACGGGAATGTCCTTTCCTGCCTTGGTGCCGGGTATTCATTGTGGTTACCTTGTTCTCATCAACATCAACAGTTGCCGTTTGAAGAATACAATAGGACTTACTTGGTGTTCTTTGGATGATACCCGCAGAAAGAAACGTTCTTCAGCTGAAAAAAGTGACTGCATTTACTGGCCTGTCATAAAACAAAAGACAGGAGCAGAATTCATTTTAAAAAGCAGGATTTTATGCTTCATATTTGTGCAGATGCAAGTTTACATTTTTTGCACGGGCTTTTTAAAATCAAACGATAGCCAACCCTTTCATGGCATTGCTCAGAATAAGTCTCACAATATACTCAGGGTCACTTCAGGTCAAATAGCATGTACTATCTTGCTGCTAAGGTGGAAGAGTGTTTAATTGAGTCAATCCTTCAAAGCACAACAGGAAGTTGCTCAGAATGGGATTACAACAAGGGATGTTCATAAATTAGTGGGTGATAGTAAGTTTCCAACACGAAATTAGAAGAAACCAGCATGATATTTATTACTGCACTTTGAAACGTGACATCTGAAGTCTGCAGATATTTCTTGAGAGAGTTTATTTCATCCCAGTTTAGATGTGACATATTGCAATGGCCACTGATCTACACTGTTTAATTTAATAAAAGGATGCTACATAATTTATTGTTGTGATATTTTCAGACTCAAATTCCATGATGGTGTATAAATTCCTGCACCGTGTGTTTGATAAGCAAAAAGAGTAACAAAGAGCATGATTCCACTTGTATATTTATCATAGTGTTAGTTATTAAAGGAATGTTGGTTAAAAAACTAAGGGAGTTAATGTAAAATGAATGACATGGAAAATTTGAAATAAAATTAATAAAACAATTAGTTTTGTTTCAGTGGAGAGATTTCTGAATTAAGGGAATGAATGTGCAATATATCGGTTACAGAATTGTAGAACAGCAAAGCAGAGAAGGTAGGTTCTTGGACTCCAGTTTATGCCAGATTTTTCAAAAGTGTACTTTAGTAAGTAATTCCCTCACTTGTTCCCCTCATCCCTGAAAATTTTCTCCCAGATATTAACCCAATTCCCCCTTAAAGGTTGTTATTGAATCAGTATCACACTATCAGCAATTTACTCCAAACTGTAATAGCTTGCTGTCTGACAAGGATTTCCTTCAGGTTGCCTCTGGCTCTTTTGCTAATTATTTTAAACATGCACATTCCGATTTGAGCCCTCAGCCCAGTTTTTCTTTATTTACTCTATTGAAACTCATGATTTTAAAGACCTTTATCAAATCTCTTAACTTTTTTACTTTAGAGGAGAATGACCTTTGTTTCACCAGTCTCTTTACGTAACTAATTCCCAGAAAAATTCCTCTGAATCACACCTGTAATCTCTCCATGTTAATTTTTTTTTTTAAACCGTTAGCTTTCCACTCAAGTACACAACTTTTTCCCCACTATATGTTCCTAAGTCGACATTTATGATGGAAGTTGTCCAGGAAAGTTGTGCTAAAATTACACCCTACCATCAGTGAATGTACTGCAGTGATGGGAGCATGAGAGTAAATGATGACTTCTACAAAATATTCCAATATGAACATGGAATAGGAAATACAATATCAGGATAGAATGTAGGACTGCAAGACAAGCACTGATTAATGTTGCACACTTTTCTGGTAACATCCCTTATCAGGGAACAATGATCTGACAAAACATATGCAGCTCCATGGGAGGTGTATTACTTCAAGTTGTATGGCATAATTATTTCTGTCTAATCGATATTACATGGCTTTACACGAGGGGGAGCTCACAGGATCATAGGTTGGTTAAAGTAGAGAAGAAAGTCAATTTCTTTAGTGCCTGACCTCTGCAAGAGTAAATCAGCTCACTCATCCTGCCTCTGTAGCCTTGCAAAATAGATCTCTCTTCAGATATTTAGCCAATTAACTTTTGAAAGTCATTGTTGAACCTGCCATCACCAAAATCTCGGGCAACACATTCTAGATTCTAAACCATTCACTTTGTGAAAGGTTTTCCTCAAATTTGCTGCTGGAGGGCCTAACTGAGCCTGAGCATGAGCATGAAAATGTAATGCAATTTCTCCACTGGAAGAATGTAGAATTGCGTCAAGGCCATTTCAGTTATAAATATAGAAATAGGATTCTCTAAAAGGGAAAATGTTCCATGCAAGAATTTTGTGCTATGAACCACCATCATTCCATTCAACAGTTAATTTACGCAAGTGTTACAGGCAAGATATAAATGACCTTTTCATAGACTCCACGTCCATCGAGTTGTACAGCTATTTTAATTCCTTGCATACTGATCTCCAGGACACAGCTAGAGGGAGGGTTGAACTGCACAGTCAATCTTCTTGTTGTTGCAATCTATTAAGAAGGAAGTTGTTGTTTAGACTTCAAGTACAGAAGTTGAAATGCCATTTTTAAAAGAGCAATTTAACCCTGTATCAGTTCACTTTTTTCCTCCCTTTGATACACACAAATCCCAACCAATATCTAGCAACAAATGTCACAAAAACATACAATCCAGTCATATCCTTCAGCAGTTTGTGCAAGTGTGCTGTGCATAAAGTGGCTACAAATTGTTTCCAACAGTGACAAAGTGCTTTGTATGATGGAACGTGTTTACTTATATTTTAGGACTTGGATTTCAAAATAGAGGCAGGTGGATGTGGGTTAGTTCTCTGAAGTTAATATTTTTCAATTGGTCAGAAATTCATTTGGAACAGTGACTCAAGAGCAAAAGTTCCAAAAAGAACATGTTACTGCAGTTAGTTTTAATAGATTGAATGTTTACACTGCTAAGGTTCCAACAGACCAGAAAAGCGTTAGTTTTATCTTTTTAATTCCGTTCAGAAGAGTTAAGACTCGATTCAGGTTGGAACAGTTTCTCAGACCAGACAAATCAAACTTTTAGTTCAGGGGAACCAGTCACCAGAGTTGAAATTTTACTCTGCGGAACTTCTAGGCCAGGGGAAACCGGATAGAAATCTTCAAGATGCTAGAACTGAAAAACAATTAGGCACCAAGACTTGTGAAATGTTCATGCAAGCAGACTTGGAAAAGAATCATAAAATTATCTTAATAGTTGAAGGAAAAGAAACTGGGAAGAGTCAGTTAAGTAAAAACAAAGATTTAAGAGTAAAGCTTTTCTGAAATAGACTATTTGTAAAACAAAATGTTGGAAAACAGATTAAAACCTCTTTTTGCTATTTGGAGTTAACATCTTTCTAACTCTCCTATATATGTATACAACTTGGTTTATTTATTTCTTGTGTTTAAAACTTATGTTGTGTTGTTAAAACACATGTGCAATCTCATGTGACTATGTTCGAGTAAATAATCATGAACCAAGTGCAAAAATTGAACAGGTCATCTCTCAAGCTAGGTTTCATTTTGGGAGATGACTTGCCCAGTATTCCCATTAGCCAGGATCAGAACAACTTTGGGAAGCTTCGAGATCATGAAAGACAACGTAAATGCAAGATCAATTTTCCTTTCTGTCAGCATTTTTTAAATTCACTCACAGGATATGGGCATCGCTGGCTAGACCAGCATTTATTGGCCATCCTTAATTGTCCACAGGACCATTAAGAGTAAACCACATTGCTGTGGATCTGTAGTCACATATAGGCCAGACCAGGTAAGGATGACGGATTTCCTTCTCTGAAGGACATTAGAGTGAAACAGATGGGTTTTTTCAACAATCGAAATGGTTTCATGGTCATCATTGGACCCTTAATTCCAGATTTTTTACTGAATTCAAATTCTACCATCTGCCATGGTGGGATTTGAACCAGGGTTTCTGCAACATCAGCTGATCATTCTGGATTAACAGTATAGCAAAAATACCACGAGACTATTACCTCCCTTCAATTAAGCATATTTGATCATGTTCTTGCTGAGGACTAACTATCATCTTCCCAATAAGATCCTTTAAAGGTAGATATACCCTGTGATGTGTTGTCCTCAAAACACCCTTTCAGCCATCTCACTGCCGATGATGGTTGAGATAATCCACATCCCTCAACTCCTTGAGGGATCAACGATCTCTCTCAGCCTCAAATATATTCTTGGGGCAACCACAACCTTCTGGGTCAAGAATTTCCAAGATTTATGACAATTTGAGTGAGAAAATGCATCTTTATCTTACTCGTAAATGATTGATCACTTATCTGGAGATGGGGTGCATGTTCTAGAATTGTCGAACAGGAAAACAAGTTGTTTGTCTGTCCTTCAGAAACGTACATATTTCAATGAGATCATGTCATTTTTCTAAATTCAAGACAGCATACACCTAATGAACTCAGTTCTCCTATGATGAGAAGCTCTCTCAACCCAGGAACCAATCTAGTTAACCGTGTTGTACCACCTCCAATGCAAGTACATGTGTCATTAAATGATCAAAACTATACTGAGTACTCCAGGTGTTGTCTCATTGAAGTCCTGCACAAATTGCAGCAAGACTTCCCTAATCATAGTCCAACCCCATTACAATAAAGACCAACATGCCACTTACCTTCCCTATTACTTGTGTACCTGCATGGTCATTTTGTGTTCTTTGCACAAATGCATTCAAGTCATTCTGAACTTCAACATTTACAAGTTTCATCTCAATAAAAACTCTGCTTTTCTATTCTTACTACCAAAACAAATAAGCTCACGTTACCCAATCTTTACACCCATCTGCAACCTTCTTGTCCACTATCTTAACTTGTCAATATCTCTTAGCAGCAGCCTGTGTCCTCCACACAGCTTCCATTCTCATCCAGCTTTGCATCATCTGCAACCTTGCGCTACTGTGCCACTTCATGTGTCATTTATAGACATTGCAGATAGCCGAACTTCAGGCACTGATCCTTGATGCAATTCACGATTCACAGCCTAACTTGAAAATATTGTTTTTATCCTACTCTTTGCTTCATGTTTGTTAGCTAATACACTAACCATGCTTCAATTATACTCAACTCCATAAGCATCTATCTTGTGCACTAACTTTATGTTATTAATTGCCTTTCTTAAAAAAAAAACAGGGTCCGGGATGTGGAAATGCACAGAAATTACGTCAGCTGCTTTCCCTTTATCCACAAAAGATTCTAATAAACTTATCCAATTTGCTTAAAAGCCGAGATTTTCATTCATCATTTAAATCTCAATTCAAGAGTTTATTTCCCACCACCCCATACGAGGTATATTTCTACTGTTTCAAGTCCAGGATAAAAACAGTTCCATTTTGATTTTCAGAAGACAGTATTTTCTCAGTTAATTTTCATGTTACCTTCTGCATGGCTGCACACAGTACATCATTCCCTTTATGGTATGGCACTTGGACTGAACCCAGGAATTTCAGATGGAATTTATCTACCCAGTCATTCTTTTCTGCTACTGCTGCTGAAACATACACAGGAAGGAAAAAAAAATTGCATATTTGTAACATCTATTTGTTTAAGGAATGTTTAAAAACAAGCTCTAAATTTTTGACTTTCTGACTGGAAACATTTAATTACAATAGGGTTGAAATGATTTCTGGTGTTGCACTGATAGCATGCACTTAACCTTGGAATAAACATTACTTCCTGCTACCTCAAAATGGACGGCAAGCCTAGTTTGTATTAAAGTAACACGATGTTTGATTTGACATGGAAGTGTTAGAAAAATAAGTGGTCTAATTTTAGCACTTATGGTTTTACAGAAAATACAAGTTATTGTTTTCATTGTGGGAGCAAGATCAAATTGATCCCTTTTCTGGGCCAGAGGAAATGATTATCATGGTGTCAAAATGTTGCTTATGGTCTTCATTACCTCCCTCACTTTTGAAAAGCAAGTTTAACATACAAATCCACTTTCCAAATATTGGGAAGGCCAAGGGCGAGTTGCTATTTACTTTACATGAAGGACAAATCGATCACCAACTTTACTTCTCAGCATTACCTTATCCCCCAACTGGCTGAGCAATTTGCATATTGCGCAGGTGTCAGTTTTCTTTTCAGTAATATCCTGGCTGAATCTAATCAAAAATTTGATTGGTCAACAATGTGAACGGAAAGAAAAGAAGTCCATCCATCTTATGTTTTGAGCTAACTTCTCCCCTTTCTCTAGAGAGGTTGCCTGACAGAGTAATTCAGTTTTCTGCATTCCATCGTGTTGCTTGCATTATTTATTGGTATGAGTGCCTGGTTTTACTATACAATTTATGCAAGTGGAATACCGGCAAATTGTCCTCGTTCCACGTTGACTTCGAGTGCATAGTATGCTGGGAAGATTCCTCTTTCACCCGTTCGCATATTGTAGGCATGGTACCAGTAATCATCAGCCTGCACGTCTACTAGAAGAGGGTCATCCACCTCTAACTCCAGCTCATCATCATGTCGGGGCACGAATCTACGCAGGGTGACAAGGAAGACCACCTTAAAAAGAAAAGCCTTTCCAAGCACTAAAACTTCATTGAAATTAAACTAAGGTGGAAGTCTAATTGCAGTGAATTTACAGATTATTCATAAATCACAAATATGACTGAGTCAAATTCAATTGCTTTTAATCAAGTAGCAATTATTTAAAAGAAAGAAAGTGACTGAATTTAGTATGGCCTTTCATGACCACTACACATCCAAAGCTCTAAAGCCAATAAAGTATTTTTGAAGTGTAGTCACTATGATGATGTTGGAAACAAATCAGCTTGTTTTTATTTGGGAGCACCTATGAACAGCGATGTGACAATAATCAGAGAATCTGTTCTTCTGGCATTGATTAAGGGATGCATGTTAAATAGACAGTTGGGATAATTCTCCTGCTCTTATTCAAAATAGTGCCATTCGATCGGTTCACCCAGGGCAGACATGACCTCACTTTTACTGTTTCATCCTAAAGATGGCACCAACAGTGTAACACATTCCAGAGCAGAACTGTGGGAAATTGCATCCAGTCTATTTATATTGTGGCCGAATGGCTTATTAAGAGTCCAGAGTCATACAGCACAGAAACAGACCCTTTAGTCCAATTAGTCCATGCCTACTACGTTCCCAAACTAAACTAGTCCCAATTGCCTTCATTTGGCCTATACCCCTCTCCACCTTTCCTATTCATAGATACTTATCCAAATGTCTTTTAAACATTGTAATTGGTCAAAATGTCATTTCTGTTGAATGAAACCATTCTGACTGTTCCCGACTATGTGGAGTTTTTCCCAAAACTGTACAGGTATAATCTGTAATAATTATTAATCCACACTGTACATCAAGCTAACTGGTTTAAAGCATCCACTTTGTCTTGAATTGAGGGGTTATGTTTGCTATTTCTCCAATCAAAGAAACTTTGGTAATGAAGCACCAAGGCATCTACTAGCTCATCAGCTACATCTTTAAGACCAGAGGATAAAGACCACCTGGTCCCAGAGACATGCAAGCCCACAGCTCTGTCAGTTTGCTTTTTACCACTTCCCTTGAGATTATAATTTCACTAACCTCTTCTCTTCCTTCTACCTGCTGATTTACAGCTATTAGTGAAAGTTTTTGTATCCTTTATAGTGCGCACAGAAGCAAAATTTGTGTTTGTTTAATCCACCATGTCTTAATTATCGACCATTAATTCCCTAATCTCATGTGCAAAAGGATCAAAACACACTTTGCCTACGGAAGCTAGTTTCTTAGCTTCGTCTCATACGCTGATTTTTCTCCTGATGAGCCTTTTGGTAATTCTGTGCTGGACTTCATGTTCTGACCAATCATCAGACTTGCCATTCATCTTTGGCAATGATATGCTTTTTCCTTAAGTTTGGTGCTTACCCCAACTTCTTTAAGTGTAGATGGTGGGTCCTCCCTTTAGGATTTTTCTTTATAGTAGCAATGTAATTATTCTGAATATTCTGAAATATCACCTTAAATGTGTGCCACTGTGTCTCTATTAATCCATCACCTATCAGTTTACTTTAGCCAGCTCAGCTTTCATGTCCATTTATTTGCCCTTTTTTAGATCTAAGACTAAGATTTTCATCCTAATCTACTCTCTTTCAAACTAAATGTAAAATTCAATCATATTGTGGCCACTGAATCCTTGGGGAGGGAGCATTACTCTGAAGTCATTCACTAATACTGCCCCATTACACAATAACATGACATAACAAATTGCACTCTGGTTAGTTCCAGAGAAGCAGATTGCAAAACTTGAATTAAATTAATCTGGAATTAAATGACAAACAAGAATGCATAGTTGATTGCTGTAAAAGTCCATCTTCCTCGCTAATACCCTTCACAGAAGGGTACCTGGTGTGGTCTATCAAAACCATTCTTTCTAACTCCAAACCCCACAGCAATGTGGTTGACTCTGAAATGGTCAGGTTGTACCAAAGCACTACCCTAAAGAAAAGGAGTGATACTGGACAGAGCATCCAGCATCAACATGGACATCAAAAAAAAGACAGGAGGACACAGCCACTTCAACACTGTAAAGTCTTCCTTCCTAATATCTAGAAGATTGCACCAAAATTCAGAGAGCTGTCTCACAAACTAGTCAAGCAACAGCTTGGCATAATCATATTCATTGAATCATTCTATAGTGTCCCAGAGACTACCATCATCATTGCTGGGTACATCCTGACCCATCAGCAGGCTAGACATGGCAGCGCATTGGCAAATAGTTAGAAGGCAGTTGCTCTGGGCATCCTTAATGCTGATGCCAGACCCTGCAAAGTTTCATGCCAAAGAAACATCCATTGATTATTGTTTACAGTCTCGTCCCTCCCCACACCCTAACTTAGCTAATGAATCCATCCTCCCTCAAGCTGAGGGCCAATTGCAGGGAAGAGGGTGATAGGCTGGAGAATTAGCTCTGGGTGTGGGACTTCAATGCCAACCACTAAAAATGGCTTGATAGAGCCACTATTGACTGTGCTGGCCAAGTCAGAGGACGTAGCTAGTAGACTAGGTCTGCACTAGGTGATGAAGGAAACAAGAAGAAACATCTACTTGTACTTAGCCTCTCTTTCTACTTGTCATAGATGGATCTATCTAAGACAGTTAAAAAGATAGGAGTGACAATGGCACAGTCCCTGTCAAGACAAATTCCCACCTTCACTTTGAGCATACTGTCCATTATGTCATGTTGCAATACCACCATGATAATTGAAAGAGTTTAAGTAGATCTAGCAACTCAAAAACTGAGGTATTGTGGGCAATCAATCAATCAGTAGCAGAATTGGACTAAAGCATAATCTGTAACCTCATGGCCTAACATATCCCCCAACTCTACAATTACCATCTTAAAATGAAGCCAGGGACCAACCCTGGTTCAATGAACAGCGTAGAATAGCAGGTCATGAAAAGCACCAGGTATATGTAAAAGAATTTAACTATCTCCCCTTGACACTCAATAGCATTACTGTTACAAAATTACCCACTATCAATATTCTGAGAATTATGATTGGCCACAAACAGTTCTGGACCAGTCATGTAAATATTCGAGCTATGGGAGCAAGTCAGAGGCTAGGAATTCTGCAGCAAGTAACTCTCCTGTTGTCTCCCAAATGCCAGTCAACTGTCTGCAAGGCAGAAGTCAGGAGTGTAATTGAATATTCTGCACTTGTCTGTATGGTTGCACTCCATAAAATTCAAGAAGCTCAACACTATCTAGGATTAGAAGAGTGCTTGCTTGGCAGCCTACTCTGCACCTTCAATATTCACTCCCTCCCCCATGTGAAACACAGGGCAGAGATGTGCACCATCCAGAAGATAGGCTCTTTCAACAACACATTTTCCATCTGTGACTTCTACCACCTAACAAGACAAGGGCAGCAGATGCATGGGAGCCCCACCACCTGCAAGTACCCGTTCAAGTCACACACCATCCTTTACTTTAAAAGAGTCTTTAATCACTTCTCCCCTGTCAAAATAAATGGAACGGTTTTCCAAATAGCACTGTGTAAATTAAAGCACAGGGATTGCATTGGTTGAAGGATGCAGCTCACCACCACTTTCTCAGTGTCAGTCAGGGATGCACAATGAAATGTTGGCCTACCTTGCAATGCCCACATCCCATTAATGAATATCACATAATGAAGCACTTTGGGATACCTGAGGTCATGAAAGGTCCAAATTAATCCAAGTATTTTTGACTGAGCTTTTTCTTATTTTATTTTATCCTCAATTCTTTATTCACGCTGCAGGTTTAATTATTGAGTAATGTGTTTTTGCATGAACTCTCCTGAACCTTTTTAATTATTCCCTACAGATGTTCTGTTTCAACATTCTTTTGTCATTATTTTCTTTTGCTCCATCCTCAACCCCATCCCCACACAAGTAGCAAATTTCCACAACCTTTTTATTGTTCTTCTTGTTCTTTATGCCTCAATGATCTTGCATCTAATTAAGTTGAGATTTTGTACAATAGACAAATATAACATAATGATGTAAATTGCAATTAGTTCTGTTCTCACAAGAGCACTAAAGCGGGTGTTGAAAAAGCAGAGAGCTAGGAATAGAGGTACTAAGTGGCCAACAATGAATGTATTACAATGCTTGATCATAACAAATTATTCTAATTCTGGGTTATTTTAACAGGTTTTAAAAACTATACCAATTATAAATTCCCTCCCTGCAGTGTTACAACTACAAATTGTGACAACACTGGAAGCAATGCTACATCAGCTTTATAATTGCAAACACTTCCTAAATGAATAAATTAGATCAATTTACTGAGTATCAAGTGACTGTATCCGGCTGTAGTTAATCCACCAGAGGTGGTTGGTTTAACATGATTTGTTTCATAACTGTTTTCAAATGCATCCCAAATAACAAGTAATCTCTATGTCTGTTCCTCAACAACCTCTTCAAGAAAGATTGCAACAAAACTTCAAGTTTTACCCTGGTCTTAAATAAAACCTCCATGAAGCATCACTGATTATAATAGTTTCTATTCAAATTCACTTTTAATTATTCATTTGCAATGTATCGGTACTGATGGTTAGGCTAATATTCATTGCCTCACCCCTTAGTTGAGTGTGATTGCTGGGGGTGTAAACTGCCTTCTTGGGCAACTGCAATGGAGACAGTACAGAAAAGTGGGAGTGTGGTTGTTTAAAAGCAATGAGGGAACCAAACCGCATTGACATGTCAAGACAACATGGATCAGAAATGAGGTAGGAAAACATGCAAAAAGTAGCATCATTTTGAAACCAAATCAGAAGGAGGAACAGCAGAACCTGTGCATTTTAAGGAATCAAATGGTTAATCATCAGAGTTACTTGTTGGCTAACAAGTGATTAACAAATTAAACGCGGCCAGGAGTAAAAGGAGCATGAGCGTCAGGGATGGAGATAAAATGATGCCACTCCAAGGGAAGAAGCAGTTCAGATCAAGAACATTTTGGTACAGTTAAACAATAGCCTAAAAAATGAAGGCATTTTAGAAACACCAATTTTAAATTCCTGCTGAAGATTAAAATTATTCTTGTCACTCTCTGGTCTCTGTGCTTTGAAATTTCTGAAGCATAAAATAGACTTCAAGATATATGCAAAAGTAAATTGTTGCAGATGTTGGAAGTCTGAAACAAAAACAAAAAAATGCTCAAAGTATTCAGAAGTTCAAACAGCATCTGCAAAGAGAAACAGCTAATGTTTTGTCAGAACAGAACATTGACCTGAAAGAAGAACTCTTTCTCTCAACAGTGCTGCCTGATCTGCTAAACATTTTTCACCTTTTCTGATTTTGTTTTAAAGACGGATATGTCTTCAGCCAGCATGTATATTATTTTCCATCTCTCACACAGGCACCTTTTCCATTTTAAAAAAAGCAGAGTCACTGTTCAAAATATTTTTAAAAATCTCAGTGTAAATGATATCTAATACAGATTTGGACAATTGTCCCCCTCAAGATTTTATTCAAAAAACGTTGGAAACTGTTTAAGCAGAAAGTGCTAGGAGCAAACAGAAATATTAGTTTGGCTAACCAAAGCGCATCAGAAGTCAGGGGCACTGCACAGGGATGGGCTTCCAACAGAATTCTCCTGTTCATTGCCTCCAACATCAGATGTGTGACAAGATAATTTTAAGCAGCGCTAACGGTGTTCAACATTTCTCCAGGTCTTTCAGAGTAGTACTGTACTTTGGATGTTCTAGTAGGCTGCAAAACAGGACATCACAAAGAGCTTTGTAGCCAATGGAATAATGCCATGGGGAAAATGGCAAGGTCCCACAAATGTGATAATGACCAGATAATCTGTTTCAGTAACATTGGCTGAGGCACAAATATTGGCCGAGGCACAAATATTGGCCATGATACCAGTGGATCCACAAAAAGAAACAATGAAACCAGTGGGGACTTGATCCAAAGGCAGGTAAATTGGATTGGTATCAGTAGCCCTAATTAATGATGAACACAGGCACATTTGGGTCAAGTGTGCCTTCCTGTATTTGATGTGGAGTGGGTCTTACCTGAATACTGCTCTGTGTGTTTGATCTCTTTCTTCTCCGTTTATTGTACATGAAAATAATCCAAAGGATTCTGCACCTAACAGAAACAAACAAGTAAACTTAAATTAACTACTTTCAATGCCAATGCATTTAAAGATAAGCAAACTCCACACCCACCTTCCCAAAAGCTAATATTCTGCCGGTTACTCTGAATACATCTTCACCTCAAAAAGTTTAAACCTGCCCAGGCTCTGGCAACTCTTGATAAAGGTGGTGAAGCAGATTTAGTCGTAAACTGCCAATAGAGCTGGATAAATACTAGACTGGAAGAAAACCACAGGGCTATGAAGAAAGAACAGGAGAAAATTGGATTAGTTAGATAGTTCTTCCAAAAGAGGCAGAATAGGTATGCTGGACTAAATAGCCGGAAGATTTTATTCTTCCGCACACTAAAAATACTGCTAGGTGATGAGTGTTCCAGAAGGACAGGACAAGGTTAAGAATTTTGCACAGAATTCTTTTCCTGATTTTAAACAGAGGCTTAATACCTCAGACAAAAAAAATTAGAAAGATGATTATTGGACGAGCAGAATGTGTGTCTGCTAATATCACTCAATGTGTCAATTGCAAGCCAGAAACTACTGACAGAATTCAGGTCTTTTTCTCAGCAGATTCTGATGTCGTTTCTTTCATCTTCTGGTAGCATTGGTAAGTTGCACTGCGAGGCAAAAGAAACATGCAGGTTCTGCACTGGATACTCAAGCACCCTTTTTCTTCTTGCACTACAGATGTATCATGCATCAACGCACAAGACCAATTCCCACTCTCTGATTAGCATCTGATTCCTCCATTCAGTTAATTGGAGAAAATGGGAAAGGTTCATATCTCGAGTTTCTAATTATGTTTTGAAATATTCTAGAGAGACGTTTCTGTAAAATGCCCACTTGATGCACTGAACTTTACCCCTTATGAAGTGTGCATACCCCCAAGACATACTAGCCTACAAATTCTGAACTCTGCACATGGAATGAAAGGAGTTTTGGGAAGGATTTGGCACGAACACTATTTATACTTGGCTTCTACACCTAGCCCCAGCCTTTGAGCACTCAAGTTCTACTAACAGTCAGCGAAACAGGAGTTAAATTAATATAAACAATTTCTCTCTTGACAGATACTGCAAGACCCACTCAGACCTCCAGCATCCTAAGGACTTTGCTTTTATTTAAGCGAATTAATTTGTCCACCGTTTTCAGTCATAAAGATTTGAAAGGCCCTTTGAAATTAGACTGTGCAATGCGTAGGGCTACAGAAAGAATACCCGCATGATCATATCCAAGACCCAGGAGGGAAACTCACAACATCAAATCTTGCTGACTCAATCATTGACTGATCGATAACAATGGTATGAGAAAGGGTGTCATTACTGGGGCAGATCATCACAAGGTTTGTATGGAATAATCACAAGATCCTGTGAGCCAAGAGCCCCTAAAGCCTGTCCACCATCTACAAGGCACAATTCAGGAGTGTGATGCAACACACCCCAATTGCCTGAATGGGTACAGCTCCAATAACACAAGAAAATTTCACTACCCAGGACAAAGCTCCCTGCTTGATTGGCACCATATCCAAACAATCCACTCCTTCCATCAAAGACACTCAGTACCAGCAGTATACACTATCAATAAGATGTACTAAAATTAGCCTAAGACCCTCAGACAGCACATTCCAAACCTCCAGCCACTTACTGCTAGAAGGACAAAACCACAGATATATGGGAACACCTGCCCCTGTGAGTTCCGCTCCAAGCCACTCAACATCCTGACTTGAAAATGTATCAGCATTCCTTCACTGCTGCTGGGTCAAAATCCTGGAATTCCCTCCCTAAGGGCATTGTGGGTCTACCAACAGCAGATGGACTGCAGTGGTTCAAGAAGGCAGCTCACCACCACCTTCTCCAGGGTAACTAGGGACAGGCAATAAATGCTGGCCCAGCCAGCAAAACCCACAGCCCATGAATGAATTGAAAGAATTTATTTATTCTTCAACCATGGAAATTATTGCTCATCCTTAATGCCACTGAGAGGATGGTGATGAGCCACATATCCATGTGGTGTGGATGCAGCAATAGTGTCATTAGGAGAGTTCCAGGGTTTCGACACTGTTTCAGTGAAGAACAGAACTGTACCATTCTGAATCAGGATGGTGTCATCTTGGAAGGCAACTTGCAGATAATGGCATTCCCATGTGCTCTCTTCTAGGTGATGGATGCTGCAGGATTGGAAGGCTTTGTCAAAAACCATCTTGCTTTATGCCCTGGGCCTGCTGCAATGTTCCAACAAAGCACATGCAATCAAGGAACAAGTCATTTTTCATTTAGGTGTTTAACAGCCTCGCAGTCTCAATGTTGAATTCAATAACTTCTGAAACTGACCACATGATGTTTATTTTCCATTTTTCTCCCCTTCTCCCATCCCACTCCTGTTCTTAGTGCAGCTTTGTCTAGCTTGTGCCTTCTTCACTTTGCGCTTAGAGGGGACAAATTTTCTCCCCTTCAGTTTAATTTACACCCATTTTACACCTCTTTCTTTCGCCACAATTAACAACCCATTCAACTCTTGCACTGGGTCTCTGCCTCTGTCAAAAGTATATTTAAAAAAAACACTTTCTAAAGAGTCATACCAGACTTGAAATGTCGACTCTGCTTTCTCTCCATAGATGCTGCCAAACATGGAGTTTTTCCCAGCATTCTGTGTCTGTTTCAAACACTGCCTATATGTCCAGGGCAGTTATTCTCATCTCAATTCTGGAATTCATCTTTCATCCACATGAACCATGGCGTGGTTCTGTTTGCTTTTTATAATTTCATAGTATGTAATCATCACTGTTCAGTCCAACGTTTATTGACAATCTACAATTGCCCTTCGATAAAGTGACAGGTCACCACATTCTTGAACTTCCCCAAGTCCATCTGGTGTTAGTACACCCACAGTGATGCTAAAAATGGGGAGCTCCACACTTTTAACCAAATAGCAGTGAATAAATGGCAATGCAGTTCCAAGTTAGGATGGTATGCTCCTTGGGGAGAATCTTGGAAGGTTTGGAAGAGATTGTCAAAAGGAACTTGGCAGGTTGCTATAGTGCATCATCTATATAGTACGCATTGATACCACTGTGTGCCAATAGCAGAAGAACTGAATGCTTGCGGAGGTCAATATGGTATCAATTAAGGGTTTTTTTTCTTCCCTCCCCCAGTGGTGTTGAACTGCCACAGCAATGTTGCTGCTGCAGCCATCCAGCCAAGTAAAATGTGTTCTATCAGACCCCTGAAATTTGATCAGACTCTGAGGAATCAGGAGGTGAGTTACTCACCACACAATTCCCAAATTCTGACATATTCCTGTCGCCTAGTAGAACCCACTGAGCTTCAGTGAGGAAGTAATCACTGATTAAGAGCTGCCTGATAGTACTGTCGATGACACTTTCCACCGCTTGGCTAATGGACAGTAGACTGATGCAGTGGTAATTGGCTGGGCTGGATTTGTCCTGCCTTTGTTTTTTTTCTTGAAAAAGACATGTATGCAGACAGGACGTATCTGAGCTGTTCTACACTGTTGGATAGATACTAATGTTGGTTGCTGTTCTGGAACAGCTTGGCTGTGGGAGTGGCTGGTTCGGAGGTACAAGCCTTCAGTACGACAGCCAAGATGTTTTCAGGACTGATAGCCTTTGTTAGGTTCAATGCAGTTCTATGTTACAGCCCCAGTAGACTGCTGTTTTACATTTAGTTCTGCATGGGTGTTGGTCACTAGGCCTGATGGTAATGGTAAAGGTGAGGGATATTGCAGCGCAGAGTGTTACAGTGCATAGCGTGGTGAAAGACAATAGAAGACAACTTGCTGAGCTTTTGCAGCAACTTCTGTTTTTGTTCCCGATTGACAGCATCCGCATTTCTTTCAGTTTTTACCCTCCCAGATAGATCATTCCAAACCCGACCACACTCAGTAAAAATGTTCTCAAATCCCTCTAAACCCCCGCCTTCCACTTTTAAAAAAAAGCGTGCCCCTCGTTCTTGACCTGCTTTCTATCTACTGTGTCCATTACTTATAGTTCTGTTAACCATTGTTCTTCTTATAAAACAATATGCCCAAGTTGCACTCAATGCAGGCAAAATCCACATGATGTAAATAGGGGTACATTCACTACATTATTGATATACAACTTGTTTTCTTTTACTGTCCCCTATGTAAATTGCTCAATGTTCCCCTCTTCCATCAATCCCACTCCATTACACATGCTTATTGTAACCATCCAATCACCTGGAGATAAGCAATAATTTCCACTGGTACCATCCCAGAAAAATTCAAGGAAAATCACAACATTAATCGTGGGAGGAATCAAGTTGAACAAAAACAGAAGTTGCTGGAGAACTCAGCAGGTCTGGCAGCATCCGAGGGAAGAAAGCAGAGTTAACATTTCAAGACTGGTGACTCCAGAGCTGTTAGCAACCAACGTGGTTGGGGGGAACAGAAAAAGAGAGAGAGAGAGAGAGAGAGAGAGAGAGAGAGAGAGAGAGAGAGAGAGGATTATAGATGGCAGGCTAGCACAGTAGAGAAGCTGAATAAGTGATAAAGAGATCAGAGGGAAGCAGAGAATGGGTAGTCTATGCTAAAAGCAAACCATATGATGTGATAATAGCCCTAGTGGGTGAAATGGGTTGGCTGTGCTAAAAGCAATGTTATAACAGGACCTAAAACAAAGTTGCTGGAAAAGCTCAGCAGGTCTGGCAGCATCTGTGGAGGAGAAAACAGAGTTAACGTTTCGGGTCCGGTGACCCTTCCTCAGAACTGAAGGTGGCTGGGAAAACGTCAGTTTATATGCAGAAAATAGGGAGGTGGGTGGGGTAGGGAGTAAACGATAGGATAGAGCCCAAAGAAAAAGAGAGAGAAAGGCAGTTGGACAGACAAAGGAGTTGCTAACGATCAGGCTGGGAGGGTGAATAGTTGTTAATGGATACTGTTAGTGACTAACAGGGGATGTGTAGTGGCAGGCTATGTGGTAACAAGGCCTGGTGTGTGGGGTGGGGGGCTGGGACACGGG